AAAACATTGTCCACCCAACAAAAGAATAACAATTAGATTGATATCAGATTTATGAAGAGCACCAAAGGAAATCAGAATAGGGAACTAAGTCTTCAAGATATTGAGAGGAAATAACTAAGTCCAGATATTTAACCAAGAGTGTTAATAAAGTTATTTACAGAAAACCAAAAGGTTTGCTGCAGAAAGGTGATTTTAAAGCAGTGCTTCCAAAATGTGCCTTATCACAAGGAAGCCAATACAATCTGTTGGTTACAGACAGCTTCTGAGACATCTTACTCTGAAGATGTCTGGGTCCTCTCTAGGTCATGTTCCTCTAGTCTACAAAAAGAATAATAACAACTCCCAACAACACAACCCCAAGCCAAAAACCCTATTGCTGTCAAGTCTGTTACAACTCATGTATTGCAGAGTAGAACTGAGTGCCGTAGGGTTAAAAAAACATTTTTTTTTTTTTTGAATTGTGAACATGGTGGTTCACAGAGAAGATCAGTTTTCCTTTCCACAGTTTATATATATATTTTTTAATTGTGAGCATGGTGGTTCACAGAGAAGATCAGTTTTCCATTCCACAGTTCATATACATTTTGCTTCATCTCATTGATTGCAACACTCACAATGCAGCATGCCTTACACCTCCTCCTTCTTTTGTTTCCTGTTTACAGTCTCCCTTCTTTGCTAACCCTTCTGAACTTTGTCCTTGGATAAATGTTGCCTTTTGATCTCAAATGGTTGGTGATTCTAAGGTGTGCATACCTCTCTGCTGCTGTTGTTGTTAAGTGTTGTCGAGTTAATTCTGACCCATAGTGACCCTGTATAGGGTTTCCAAGGAGCAATTGGTGAGCTTGAACCACCGACCTTGCAGTTCAAATGACTTTGCAGTCTGACGCATTAACCCACAGAGCCACACCAGGACTCCTTATAACCTTTCTATTGTTCAGCCGGCATGGCGCTGTAGGATAGATACTGGCCTGCTAAACACAAGGTCAGCCATTTAAACCATCAACTGCTCTTTGGAAACTTTATAAAGGGTCATTATGAGTTGGAACTGACTCCATGGCACTCCATAACTTAATTGTTTGGCTGGAAATTGTGCCATGGGGATGAGTTCAGTTCCAGACTTGAAGGGTAACTAAGAGTCACAGTCTATAGGACCAGTCAGTCTGGTTTTCAACTAATTTATTTTTATGATTTTGAGTTTTGCTCCACATTTTTCTCCCACTCTATCCAGGATCTTCTAATGAGAGGTTG